GGTACATAGGTCACCTTGTGCATGCGGCCTCTATGTACACTAGAAAGATTAGGTAATATTTACTAGGTATTAGGTATTGAAGCGCTTGGGCCATATTCCAACACTCAACTGGCAAACAATAATTTGAAATCCATTAAATACTTCTCATCATTAAAAAGTAGTGCGAATCAAGTACAGTTCGAAGCCAACTGTTCTTTCTCATTTAATGAAAGAAGTTTTGGTAATATATTGTCTTTGATCTCGGTCGTCTGAAATCCTTGGCTCTTAGGCTCTTAGGCTCCTAGGCTTTTTCGCCGTCCTTAGATTCAATCATCTCTTGCCGCCCATTAATCTATCGCTTTGAAGGAGACGCGTCGATATCCCTTGCCATGTCAATCAGACCCTCCATCCGACATCTTCATCCATTCTTATCCCCAGAGACTAATTAACCACTGCAAACATTTTCTTACAAAAGCGACTCTCATGCGACTGGCTATTCGTTGCCTGGACCGTCCCATTATCCTCAGCTGATATCTTGAACTACTGCTTCACTTTAGGGACGGGATTCCTCATGCATCGCGTCGATTCGGTTCAAGATGTCGGAACATCCTTACAGGTATAGCCCGTATCAGGGCCAGAAACCTCATTCGCAACCTCTCCCGCCCTTTGCCCAACAGTCACTTCCTCCCCTAAATGCTCAACCGCCTTACTACGGGGCTTTTCAACAGCCAGTCGCCACTGCGGGCAACTACGCAACCACTCATAATTCCTTCCAATACAATGCAAGCAACATACCTGGCCTAGGGATGGGTAGCTCTCTACCGCTCATGCCATTTCAATCTGAAAATAATAGTATATGGCAACCTCGGACACAACCCGCATTGCATCAACTTCCTACGCAAGCTAGAGATAAACCCCCTGTTTTTATGGCTAAGCAGGGTGACCTTCAGAAAAGTCCTACAGAGAAACGAGATATGCCTGTATCATCCCAGACACAAAAGCACACCCCAGAAGAAGGGGAGCTTAGCGAAGGCGAATTTGAAGATCTATATGAGCCTAAAGATAACACTGATATCGCCATACCAACTCCTCCGTCTCCTCGACCCCCAAGTGTGATGGAGAACCAAAATGGAAGTGTTGGGGATGCTGACGGGTCTTCTATATACGATGGCACAACACCTCGAGGTGACGCTGCCATCAATAGCACATACACGTCGCTTCCTACGGCCGAACGAGCATATTCACCAGACGAGGATTGGGAACCTTCCTACCAAGAACGCGAGAGGTCTGGTTCGTACTCTCCCTACTTGTCTCCTAGAGAGATCCAGCGCAAGGTGTCAGTGAGCAAACCCGCATCTCATGGAATTATACGTAAGTTGCACTGTATATGTTAGTTCTCTTTAATCGTATCTAACAGCCGTCAGAAGCACCAACCACTCATAATCCAGTACAATCTCTGCCAGGGATAAATATGACACACTTACAGCAGCCATCAGTTGAAACTCCATTGGCAAGTGAAACGGCTTCTAACCAAAAACAAGATGCCGCAATCCGCCCTTTTCGTTCTGTAGCAGAAGCAAAAAAGAAGGCGCAGGAGGCCATCCTTGGCCTGTGGCCCCTTAAGGTCCGATATCAAGATTATATTGAGGAAGGACTCGATGAGAAGCTTATCAAAGGGTTGTTCGCGGATTTGGGCCTAGAGGCTTCAATACCAAAACCCACTACAGCTCAAAAGACCACAAGTGACTTGCAGGTTCCAGCTGCGCCCTCTAATGTCTCTCAGGCTGCACCCGAGCCACAGAACGCCAAAAATCAGTCACCAACTATGTCAAAACCGAAGCCACCTATAACAATCGAAACTACAATAGAAACCACTGGTGATACAAAGCCTACTAAAAAGACCGCTGCCGAGGAACGAAAAGACAAAATTGCTCGGAAATTAGCGGCAAAGGCACAGAAGACCGCAAATGCGGCCCAGCCTCCTGCATCAACACCACCATCTCAACCAGCTACAAAACCAGCTTCGACCAATCTGGGTGTTGTAACTTCTACGGGTGCGTCACCGGCAAAGCCAAAGACGCGAGCCGAGAATAACGCACTTCTTCACCAAAAGCTCGCCAAGTTGAAGAAAGCGCAAGAGAAAGCCCTAGCCGAAAAGCTGGCAGCTGACAATACAGCTAAACCCATGACGCCTCCATCTCTTCCCACAAGTAACCCGCCCACGGTTTCCGTATCAAAGAATCACATAGAATCGTCTACGAATGCTACCACGGTCGCGATATCCGCCCCAGAAGCAGATAGGCGTTCTATGTCTACGGAGAAGAGCTTACCACGGGAAGGAGGTATCCCAGGTTTATTTCTAACTACTCAATCAGCACAGTCAAGCAACCGCAACCTAAAACGACCGGTTGCATCAGATTTTGATAACTATTCCACCCCTACCGGCACGCTCAAGCGAAGTCGTACTCAGGAAACGTTAATTATTGACGTTAGTGACGATGAGGACGTTGAAATGGACATTGCTTCGCCTATCGATGAGCCCAATTTATTTAGTGAGATAATCAATCCTCCTCGACAAATTCCTCTCGCGGCGTTTCCGCCGCTGTCTGATTCCCTGAACGGGAAACAACGTCCAAGTCCTAGCTCAAGTACGGCACCAACACCACCTGTGCACGGAGCCAAACTAGATTTATTGCATAAGCGAATCGAGGAGACGAAGCGATTAATTGCTGAAGCAGAAGCTAAGAAGGCCGCCAAAAAGACGAATGCTCCTCAATCACCTCAGACCCAGCCTCCAGTAATAGAATCTACTACGCTCTCTAAATTTTCGGAATCTTCCCCGGTACAAAAAAGAGTTGGAACGGCCGACGTGAAGAGACGCGATAGAATCGTAAGCTATGAGTTGCCAACCGTGGAGGCCACCCTGAAAGAAAAACAGGATAGATTAAGGGAAGCCGTTGCCCAAGCAGCTCAGCTTGAGCTCGAAATCCAGGCGAGTATGGAACAACGACGCAAACTAGCTGATGAAGCGGAGCGGTTGGCGGTCCCTGCAGAGCCAATACTTATCGAAATAAGTACGCAAAATCAACTTGTCCTTTCTGGTGAGTTTGATTGCGATGCTTAGTGTTTCGCCGTTCACTGTGTTGCATTCTTTTGTTACATACTAACATGTATATAACTACAGCAACCACAACTTCGGAACTAAGTCACGTTGAGTCGCAGCCTACTAGTGAGCAGCAGCCAAATTCCGAAGATACGACAGATCTTTCTATGACCGAAGGAGACATAGCTCAACATGACCAGCAAGTTGATACAAATGATGCACAGTTTGCTTTGGATCCATCTCAGTTTATTTCTCCGGCTGATATTGAACCTGTTGCCGTCCAATTATCTCAAGGACTTGCTCTGGTTAACGGAGAATCTCATTCTGAGGCTAGCATAGATGGAGTATCACAGAATAGCTCCACGAATGTATCGACTAAAGAGAGCCAAGCTATCCCTAACACAATAGCCGCCGTTTCAGAAGTCCAGGTTGATGGACAGGATCTGTCCAAGCAAGACGTTTCCGAGCGGCCGTCCCGAGAGCCTTCTCCAAGCAACGACGGATCCTACCGGCCACAATCTATGCCGGCATCCCCTGCCCACGATTACCCCTTAGGACATCATGACACTAGCACAAAGACACCCTCGCCACAAGAAGAAATTGCTCTATACACTGATAAGCAACTTAATTGTGAAGTACCCCATGAGACTGGCCCGGTTCAACCGGGCGAGGAATCGGCTTTGTCCGCACCCGACAACCCAAGTGGAGAAGTACAGAACAGCTCTTCTTATGAGCACCCCTTACTGACTTCTAGCCAGGATGAGTCTGAGAAACCAGCCCAACTGGAGGATCTGCTTTCTTATCATAGTCCTCTGGGATATTTCCGTGCATATAGATTCCATCCCAAGTACTTCGACGAAGTAGCGGGTGGCCTGAAGTCAATGACTTATAGTTCCAAGATTGACCCCATGCGGCCAATATGCCCGCGTGTTCTAGCGGGAGAACAGTGTCCCAATGGTAATGCTTGCGAGTTTCAGCACTTTGAGAATATGGTGCTTCCTGGTGAGTTTTCGAAACGATATTCCTAAACACTCGATCCCGTCTGCGAAGCATCCCCCCTTTTGGATAACTGACTTCATGGTACTTTGTTTCAGATGCCGAGATTATCACACAGCTCGGCTCCGCCGATATGTTCACCGGTGAAACGAGAAACAGATTCATTGAGGGCCTGAAGAAAGTTCTTAACGAACTGAAGGCCAACAAAGTTAAGGACTTCGATCGCATTACGAAAGCCATCGTTAAGCACAGACAAGAATTCCTCGAGGACAAGTCCAAAGTCTTGCCACTCGATGCTGGCAGCAGTTGAGCAACCTCGTAGTTTACTTACGCAGCAACGCACAATCGATCAACCCTCGTAGACTTCGTACTTGTCCCTTTATCCTTTATCCTTTATTCCCTTTTCTCCGCTTCATCGTGTTGCATTAGCTAGGCAGATCATGATCTTCCATGACTATTTCAGCCTACTTATTTGCCTCCATGAGAGGTGCCATGGCAGTATTTATCCTTGTGATAAGGGACCCAGCAACCCTTGTGGGCTGGGCGCCTGTTTACGGGCTTTACGACGCCCACGATCATCTTGATCGGGGGCTGAAATGCTGGAAATGTGAGATCTACCAGACAAGAATGCCGGTAGAGTAACTTTAGGAGACGGACTTATGGCCACACGATTGGCCCTATGATTGGAAGAAAGAAAGAAAGAAGAAATTAAGCAGAAGATCAGGGCGACTGCTCACAGCATAATAATTGGAGTCGACTGACTGTTGAGCAAGACAGCATTTGCATTTACTATTTTTATCTAGATGCAGACCACACTCTCACAGAGGACAGCCACGAATACTCGCGGAGCTATGTTCAGGAAGTATCTGCAGCTCATGCTAGGAAAATAGCCGAATAGCTCAGTAATGCATACATCATTTCTTTTGATTCAATGCTTTAATACCTTTATTTAAGAGCTAGTGACTGTTCTACTGCTGTCTTACACTTTTATACGCCCTGGGATAACCTATGGTCTTTACATTTCGTCCTCCCATCTTATAAGATATCTATAGCAAGTCCATATCACCCTCCATAAATAGTAAAAATCAACCGCAGGCATTGTCGATTCTATATTCTAGATGCATCAAAGAGCGGAATATAAAACGCCTCGTAGATGGTCAAAGAAAAGGTATGTCCGTCCAACTGGCTCCTATACCCAGAACGCCGCAAATCTTAAACTTCAACCTAATTAAGTCGCACTCAAGCTCCACGCTCAACATCATTTATATTCGAACTACTCCCCCGAGCATCAGTAACACTAGTCGCAGTACTAGGCTTGGTTTCGGGTAACATCTCAAACTCGTTCTGGCGGATCTCTTTGCGGGTACCATCATCGCTAGCCGCAAACTTCCGATCTATAATCTCGCCGAAGCACAGGCTCGGATGGAAGACATTTAGGACAAAGACAGCGATAGTGATCATCACACCCTCAAAGCCGATGAATAGGTCCTGACGAGCCATCAATGGTCCCGAGAACCCGCGACTCAGCTCCGCAACGCGGAACACGCTACGCCAGAAGATGCAGATGGTGCTTAGCGCTAGCGCGGGCAGGAAGGCCTTAAACATCCAGGAGTTGCGCATCGTAACTAGCGCCGGGTCTTGGTCTAGTGCTGCGGAACCGAGGGTTCGGCGCCGGCGCAAAGTGTTGATTAGGAAGTCGGTGGATATAAGCATAAATACTAAGAGCGTGAAGACTTGGAAAGCGAGACCGGCGATCATGATTTTGTCGCCGAGGTCCGTAGAGCGTCCCGTGTGGAAGGCGGAGGCGGCGAGACCACCGCCGGAGGCTTGAAGGATTAGGGAGACGACGTCGCAGGGGATGAACTATAGGTTGGGGTTAGTGGACTTCGAGTTTATACGGGTTTACCCCTTTTGACTCTTTCTTTTCACTCTTTCTTTGGACTAGACAGGAAAGGGTATGTGAAACGTACGATGCGAGTATAGTATTGGGGCGGGATCCGTGAGTTCTCAGGTCCGAAGGCGAACACAATCTTCCGAATGCACAGGTAGATGCCGGCGGCAAGGAAGGCTGGCGCTATGGTTAAACACTTAAACAACACAAGTCAGTAATCGCCTCCTTACGAAAGCTGAGTGATTTAGGTAGTAGATAGCTCCCCAGTCAACTCGTTCAGGGGGTCCCTCCTGATATAAGACCAGTAAAGAAAGAGGAAAGGAGACTATTGGATATCACATACGCAGATCTGCATCAAGAACCCGTTTTCAGACCACTGGTTCTGCCAGCTCATGATCCTCCCGGCGTAACCTATGATCTCACTGATGAGACCGAGGACCATAGCAATAGTAAAGTTACCGCCACGCCGGGTGAAGGCGAAAACGGCGAGGAAGCCGATGAGGGAGAGGGCGAACAGTGCCAGGAAAACCGCGTTGGGTGCTAGATCGATACGGTACGCATAGAAAGACAGATCGTAAGGACATATCTCTGGCGTGCAGTCCTTGAAGGGAATCGTAACGTTAGCGAAGTTGTTGCCGAGGTTGGCGCCAGACCCGGCTTGGCCACTCATTGCGGATGGGGATATTAGATTTAAGCCGATCACGGACAAGCAAGGTGACCACTCTAAAAACAAGCAAATATAAGGAGCTCAACGACGAAAGAAAGTCAGGTACTATGGTAAAGAGTAAAACCAGTTCCTCCGACGGAAGGGAAGCGTGCCAGTTAAAGACTATAAGACGGGATTGGGAAGACCGCAGACTCCGGGCTGTAGGCTTCGCAAATGTTCGTATCAGTCTAGATACCCGGGTTACTTCATATTCAACTCAGCCTGAAAAGGGACCAAACCAGTTTACTAGAGGCATGTCCAGTCATAGTGGCTGGTAGCCATAGAAGCAAATGCAAGGTAAGGCTGCGGGTCGGCGAATTACCTAGTCGAGACAGTTATTCGTTATCGAGCCTATCGTCAGGGCGGATAGTCTCTTCTAAGTAATTCTCTTTGTCTACCTATTACAAGGTCGAGATATCCTTCTAAAAATTTGGGGGGCATATTGTTCCTATGGCAACTACTGAAATAGAAAGTCGCCAATATAGATACGCTACATCTAGAAGAGACTATTGGCGATATGCGTTCAAACGGTGTATACGCTTCTGTATCCAATTCGCGGTAGATAGCCCCTTGGACGTGCAGAAAACATGTCTGTATGTAGAGTCAAAACTTCGGCTACCGCCAAGATTGCGTACTACCATCTCGCCCCCTGAAGATATTCCCATCGATACTACGGGCTCGCTGGCTTACGTGTCGTTGTGGGCTGAGTATCTCAGCCGCACTGGAAATCTCATTTGGCAGACTTTGATATACATAGATCCTGTCATATGAAGTCGTGGATGAAAGGCATTAGGTTGATTGGCGGAATCGTGGTGCACTGCCACGATGCTCTGGGTTACTTACTTACACACGGCCTGATCTGGAATCTCTGATAAGATCAGGGGGTTCATCCAGCCATCTCGTAAACCATTCCTATATCGGGCAGGAAATGTTGAGTTTAATATGTCTGCGACGAAGTGAGTTACTCTAAGCGAGGAGCTTATCACACCAACTCCAGGTTGGAGGTATAGAGTTGTAAGGGAGAGAAAATCAAGGATCCATAATAAGGGAAGAGGACCAAAATAAGCTTTAAGCCTTGAGCTAGCGTCGATAATGTACGTATATGTTTACCTAAAAAGGACCTATACTAGGTCGTCTTGGCGTGCATTAGGTATATGATAGTCGGGGAAAGTCCGGTTTAACTTCTTACATGTATGTACATATTCCAAGTACCTTAGGTAATTCTAATCCTTGAGCTGGTCGCCCAGCTTTAAACTCGTCGTTCTTCTCCACGTAGACGTCATTCATTCGTCAAGACTAATTGCTTCGAATTAAATGTTTCGAAAGCTGCTACCACCAATGTATTACATACAACTTATTATTATTCCCACCAGGAACAAGCAGGAAAAGAAGGACAATCCTCCATAGGAGCATGCTCAGTTTGCTCGAGGTCAGCTAGCGACAATGTTGTCCTCTTGCTTTGGTTTACGAAAAAAGAGCACCGACCCCGAGCGAGAACCACTACTCCCTCAATATGAGCAGGACACTCACCTACAGCGGGAGCTGTATCAGAAGCTCCAAAGCTACCAGATGCTAAGGGCTCTGACCAAAGGATACATGCCAACCACCGAACAAACCATTATCAACTTACGTACTCTTCTAGCAAGCGACGTATTGAATCCCGAGAACCCAGACCTGTCCGACAGTGGTCGCCGTTTGATACGTCTCACCAAGCTATGGCTACAGCAATTCATTACCCTTCTGCAGCATAAAAACGGCAAGGATCAACTTCAAGATCTTATCTGGTTCTTAACAAAAAGCCGGATATCAATCGATGTGGACGATCTCGGCGCAAGGGCCAAGAAAACCAAAGCCAAGGCCGACATTGCTGCTGCGTACCAAAGTGTGCGCACCGTCGGCTCGCTACTTCTCACGAACCCCGATTTTAGAACATTTCTTAGTGATCTCAACATAGTTGGTCGCGAGGTTTTCAGAGATTCCGCCTTTGCCTTGAGTAGTGCTGCTAAGGAAGTAGGCGAGCAGTTGGAGCCATCGCATGAAGAACAGCAAAGTATAGCCGAGTCAGGAACTACTAGTGATGACCAGCCACCGACAGCCCAGGATTTAGAGGATGAATTCGAAGATGCCGGCAAGGTCGTTGCGAGCCACGGTGCTGAGGTCGCAAGCGCTACGGTTGAAAGTGTTCAAGATAAGCTTTCTGGCGATGAGGGCCAGACGCTTTTAAAACGGTTGCAGCAAGTAGTCCTTAACCTTCGCAAGCGCAAGGACTATTCGGACTCCGTATCGACACTCTCACTACTCATAAAACGCTACGCCATAGTCTATTCGCGAGCCGCTGAGGAATTAATGGAAATCACCCAGGATGATGTTCAGGAAAACCGGGAGACAGATCGTGCCCTCACCAATCTTTGGGAGTTTGTTAAGAGCTTTGGTAACAAGAATGAATGGGAGAAGTCTGAAGAGCTTCTGAGGAAGGTTATGAGCCATAAGGACAGCGATCCCGAGTTTGAGAATTTACTACAGGACCTCGGTGACAGCTTGCAGAAGCTTCTTATGGACCCTATATTCTTCTCCAATGCGGATGAAAAGCTTCGGGAGCTAAGAGAAAAGAGCAAGAATCTCGGATCAGAGACTAGCTTGAAGCAGGATATCGATGATCTCCTACAGCAGCTATCTGTTACGTTCAAAAGTGTGGCAAAGGACGAAGATATTCATCATCTGATAACAACCACGCTCCGTATCTCCGGTATCCTTTCTCCTACCAACTCGACGACGAACACTGACTTGATCCATGACGCGCTGAATGTGTTCATTCCGCTTCTTATCAGTACCGTTCAGCACGTGCCAATCCCACGTCTCGAAGTCAGCACACCAACCATCGACCTTCTACTGGAAAACCTCATTATCGAACCCGGCATTACTGTGAACGAAACATCATTCCTTCCGTTCAGACTAAAGATCGAGAATTATAACGACGTTGAGATCCGTAAAGCCCGCTTCCGGACAAATGCTAGTATGAAGAATATCATGCTCATTAAAATCGACGGCCTTTCAGCACGTGCAGATGAAGTCGGCTTCTGGTTGCGCGCCCATAGCGGGATATTCCGTCTAGCCGATGAGGGCATCGCAAGCTTCGCGCTAGATGAGCGCGGCATTGACATCCACCTCGAGATCGAGATATGCCGCGAGCGCCTAGAACAGATAGTAACACTGCGCGGTGTGCGGGTAAAAGTACACAAGTTAAACTACAAGCTCCGGAAGAGCAAGTTCTCCTGGTTGGGTTGGATCATTAAGCCAGTGCTTCGTCCCATCCTCAAGGCGACAATGGAAGCCCAGCTCGCTTCTGCCATTAGCGATCTGTTACATGCTGCGAACCGCGAGCTGTTGTTTGCTCGGGAGCGTCTGCGCGCGACGCGGATCGCCGATCCGAAGGATCTATGGACTTTCATCAGGGCCGTTGCGGCTAGGTTGGTACCCGAGGAGGATCCTGATCTATACACGAGGGTGGGTGTTGAACAGCCGGGCCGTGGTGTCTTCAAGGGGGTCTATGCCCCGGGTAGTGTCGTTAAGATATGGAACGAGGAGGCATCTCGAGCTGGCGATCGCATTGAGCAGTTTGAGACGGGCGGCTGGCGGAACGACGTGTTTGATACGCACGTGCGTAATTTCACTTGAGCTCAATTATCTTTGGCAATAGGGTTAGGTATTTGATTGGGATAGCAGGACGGCGTTATTAGGATTGGTTAAGCGTACATGAGGACATTCCTTCACAGGATTATTATTTTAAATTTCGGCCTAGGGCTTATATTGTAAATTACGTATCTGGTAGCTTTATCTTGTTTATTCATTCAAGAACAATGCCGCGAGATGAACGTATAAAATTAGACACGGAATATAGGCTTTGTGTTCAGGCGTGTTGTTCGATCTATAATCTAAATTGACTATCATGGCTTCAATCTCAGCGAGCTATGTACTTATGTGCAATTCGTTGCTCAATCTTAGTGACTCGATCATAAGAATCCTAATAAATCTTTACGTCGCCTATTAACCAATACCCATCCATCGTCCTGGATACTCGTCTGATCGTTCCTAGCCTCTATAACCGAATCATTCTCCTTTCCCTCTCCATCCTCCCCCTTCCCCGGCTCCGGATACTTCCTCAGATGCTCAATCGCCCAGACAACCTCCCTAGTCAACGGCGGCGGCACCCTCCCATCGCCCCCCAGCGTGCCCAGCCCCGCGATCCGGAACAACCCCTCCAGCCACTCGGCCGTCTCCCCCCGCTCCCAATCGATATCGTGGAACTTCCTCCCCTCGCGCCGCGTGTTCTCCAGCCGCTCCCGCTCCCAGCGCTCCTGCTCAGCCGGCGGGGGCAGCGGGACGGCGTTGCGGCGGGCGAACAGGCGGGCGAGAGCGATGGCCTGGTACTCGAAGCTGCGGAAGGTGAGGACGCGGGGCACGCCGACGATGCCGAGGGTGGGGTGCGCGCGGAAGAAGGTGTGCCAGTAGGTGCCGACGAGCTTGCCGCGGGCGTAGTCCCACAGCGGCGGCGCGCCGTTGGCGTTCGCGGCGGCGTTCCAGAACGGGAAGGAAGCGTTGTATCCGGTGGCGTAGATGACGGCGTCGACGTCGGCCAGCCGCGTGCCGTCCGCGAACAGGATGCTGCCGTTGGAGGAGGAGGAGGCGTCGTACTCGGAAATCACGGGCTTCCAGGCGATGCCGGGGGGCGGCGAGGAGCCGTCCCAGCGGGACTTGGAGCGCCGCGATTGGAAGACGGGGTGGCGTGCCGTGGAGGCTAGTTCGGCGGTGAGGTCGTGGCCGGATGCGGAGTTGCCGATGACGACGACGCGTTGTCCGGCGTATGGGGAGGGGGACCGGTAGTACTTGGAGTGTGACACGCGGCCGGGGAATTTTTGGGCGTATTCTTGGAGGCCTTTGACGTAGGGGATCTGTGTGTGTGTGTGGTGTGTGTTAGAGTAGTAGAGTACCTAGATAGTGTCAAGGGGGAGGGGGGGTGGCTTATAAGTTATAAGTGAGTGAGTCTATAACATACGTAGGGAACAGAGTAGTGCCCATTTGCCAGGATCACGGCGTCAAATGTCTCTTCCCACCAGGAGTCGACGTGACGAGACGGGTCGTACTTCCGGAGGGTCAGTTTCCATCTTTCAGGACCGTCTTCCGAGTCGGGCTTCAGTTTGGTGATGTCCTCGACAGTAGTGCTCAGGCTCAGCAGCGAGTCTGTCTTGTGGAGCGAGAAATAGCTCTCGATGTACTGCTTGGGAACATGATGCGGTGGGAAGGGCCCGTAGGCGAACCTGCTATCGGAGAAGCACATGGCAATATCGGGCACATTGGTTCTAGTCCGGTGTTAACATGTTGACTCCTATATCCAACTAAAGACTTGAGTCGAGTCCCCACGTTAAAGAGTTGTAGATAGGTGTCTTGGAAAACCTCTCTTGCTGGTTGGGCGGTGTGACCTGAGGGAGCTCCTTCGGGATCTCCAACGGCGGATCGACATCGGGAGGTAACTTTCCCGGATGCACTTCTAATGCGGGCGTCGGGTCCGAGTCGTAAATCCTGCATGTTTTACATGTTGTAAGCAAACGAACTTGCTTACTGGGCGACGTATATAAAAGACATGAGTATACCATGTTCCCCCAGGCGTCTCTCGTCTCTCAAATACCCGAATCCGTTCGAAATAGTTTTCAGCTTTTAATGCTGCCGCCGTGACAGCCCCTAAAATATATATATATGAGTTTATGTCAGATATGTAACGATATGCATAGGCATATAAGAGTCTTAAAGATGACATTTATACACACCTGCCGCACCCGCGCCAACAACAGCCACCGACTTGATTCTATGTTCCTCGCTCATATCTTCTACAACAAATATTGTAACAACTAAGCTTCATCTTCAATTGAGCCGGATACGCAATTTCATTTAGGAGGGGCATTGGGATCCGCATAGACCGATTACCAACGCTTATAGCATTCGCAATACTCCCCCAGTATGTCGCCATTGTCACGTGAATGGGTATACGATCATTTATGCAACTCGGCGATATTTCAACAAGACGTAGTTAACGAATGGAGAGAGTAGAGTATACAAATGAGTATAGTAATAATTAAAATTTCTTTGGCATCCGTGGTAATAATTTGTCTAGGTGGGATGTGAGGTTTGTTGTTTTATTAGGCGTGCCTTGGATTATAGCTAGGGTGTATATAGACATTGGCAATACTTAATAGTATACTTTAGTAATCTCGTCAACTTTTAATTGACCTAGATGAACTACTTGAGCATATTATCAGCTACAAGTATGGCCGAGTATGTAATAATATTGACCTATCACTAGGTATTTTCTGAGTTAGTTACATATTTATTGAAGTAGTTTCTTGACAGCTTAGCTCATGCTATTTTAGAATTAGGATCCTTGGTAAATGTGTCCTAGTTTCTCGGTGCCGAATGTTATCTATTATTGGCGAATAGACAAGACTTACGATGCCCAAGGAATGCTGACATGTCAGTTACGTACCTATATATCGTCTTATGGAGGATCCCATAGAATGCAGCTACTTAAAATTGGGCTTATAATTCGACTCAACTAAGCCTTACTAAATCTATCATGAAGTAGTAGTTACTTCGAATATCTAAGACTATTTGCTCGTACTGAATCCTATTCTGGTTATTTGAAATACCTTGCGAGGTATAAGGTGACTTCTGTGCTTTAAACAGATATATTTTTAAACTCCATTTGACCTTGTAAAACTATCTTCGAGAATCATAATTTTACCCATGAAGTCCGATTTAAACCTTCAGTCGATATGACCTTGTATTAAACTAGCGGCTTGTATAGTACCACCTTGTTCTATCGTAGAAGTCGAGGTCGAATGAAATATCCGCTTACGCACGCAGTCCTCAATTGTCTTACACGTAAATGGAGGGGTATAGGGCTAAGCGTCGATCTGGAGCATGTTCACACTTATTAGGCTCTTACGTGAGGAAAGGGGGAACTAAAAAGAGGATGCCAGGTACCATGATGTTGAATCTCATAGCAATATAAATGCGGAACAGGAGTCATACAGAAGGTGTCTTAATACACATTATAGTTACTTGATAGGCCCCTTCAAGACATTCAAATCCAAACATAACCCTAAGAAATACTTAGTTACCTCCTACATAGGTACATTTATCAAAGGGTGAATACATGGCTTTAACGGGTAGCTGCATGACGCTATCCTGGCATCTCGAGGAAATAGTCTGGTTTAGGTATGGTCATTGCCCCTCAGTAATTATCTCATACCACCTATTTAGAACAACCATGCGCCAAGGATGCTGTAAGAAGCCACTTACGATAGCTGCTTGTTGATACTTGATATGATAAGTTGGAGGATTGGTGGCTTGCAGCTTCAAACCAGATCTCAAACCATATGATCGATAATATGCTTTTGTATTAACACATTAGTTGTCGAGCTGCCTCATGTTCAATGGTGAGGTGACGATTAGGTCTGCTGATCAAAATCATTGCCTAGCCGTATTGTAGTGTAGTATAATATATATAAATATCTTCGGTCCCGAGAATGATGCCATGGAGTCTTTATACTACCGTATTCGATGATGAATATATCTGGGGCGAAGAAGAGATATTTGTTCAGTAGGCCGGTGTCGTATTACTCACTTAATTTTGGTGGTGTTGGCATTTATAGACAAAGTCGCATTTATGTCTTAGGTATTACAGGCCTATCATCAACTCATAGTGTGTTACACTAGCCTTGTTTGCTCTAATTATCTATATCCGGTTGGTAGTCATGCTGCATTACTTGTTCCCGTATTTCACTGTGTCCACTAGTCTACTACATGATAATAGAGACTTCATATTATAGTTACATCGACCAGGCCTCGCAGGATGGAGCTGAATCGGCCGAGAAATTCAGACCCCCAACGGGAACCTCGTAGATTCTCCCTGTATAAGTGGACAAGGGAGTTCATATCCCCCTCCGCGGTACCAGTAACCTCCAATGTAGCCTCTTCTAATACTCAAATCATGTCCTCACCCTTTGCCCAAGCTATCCAAGCTATTACCAGAGCCCTCGGGCCTCTTCCCAAATATCAGTTCGCTCCAGGAAATGATGATACATCCAAGGAGACTGGCCTTCTTCAGGACTTGCAACACTTGAGTGTTGAAGACTACAAGACATCGAAAGATGTCTTGGATGCCACGGTTTCCGGCGAAGAGGATGACAACGAACTTTTGCAGGAGCGTATTGTCACCTTGCTTGCTAAACTGCCCCCTAATTCTCGGGAAGGTAAACAAGCCACCGATGCTTTCGTCAATACGCTCTGGAACTCGCTTGAGCACCCTCCTGCTCAGATATCGGCTAGAGATGCTTGCTACCGTACGGCAGACGGCTCCTATAACAACCTTGGAGCTCCTGCTATGGGAGCCGCTAACACACGCTACTCACGAACAACCCCTGCTAAGGTGTTCCAGGGGCCTAACTTGCCAGACCCGGGTCTTATTTACGACAGTATCATGGCCAGAGACGAAGTATCGTTTCGCGAGCATCCAAACAAGATATCTAGCATGCTTTTCTACCTTGCTACAATAATTACCCACGATATCTTCCAGACGGTAAGTTGTCTGAACATATACAGTCTCCCTTGGTCTTAGCTGATATCTAATTGTCGAGTAAAGGACTCACGAGACGCAAACGTTAACTTGACCTCGTCGTATCTTGATCTTTCACCTTTGTATGGTCGTAATGATGAAGAGCAAAAAGCCATGCGAACTTTCAAAGATGGGTTACTTAAGCCCGACTGCTTTTCGTCGAAGAATCTTCTTGGATTTCCTCCGGGAGTAGGAGTGTTTTTGATCGTTAGTGCTCCTGAATTTCTTATCCTCTACCAACCATTTCTAGAAAGTATACATCTATCCACATTAAGGGAATATTTTTGGAGGGTCAACAATGTATCCAATAGTCGATTTTAGAACTACAAACCCTCTCGTGTCTCTTAACTTCATCTTGGAACGTTAACACTAATAACTGTTTGCAGATGTTCAATCGGTTTCACAACTATATCGTAACTCAGCTAGCAGGGTAAGACTCTCTACCTATGAGCGGTAGTTTAAATCTTGTGATAATCAAGAAATGCTAATATCCATAAGAATTAATGAAAACGGGCGCTTTACCAAGCCGGCCGCAACCAGCGAAGGTGGTAATTGGGAGGCCTGGGAGAAATACGATAACGACCTATTCCAGACAGGACGACTCATTACCTGCGGGCTCTATGTCAACATCATCCTTAAGGATTACGTTCGGACGATCCTGAATGTAAACCGCTCTGGCACTACATGGGACCTAGACCCACGGACGCAAGAGAAGAAGAACATATTCAACAGTTCACCAGCCCCAGAGGCTACAGGTAACCAAGTTTCCATTGAGTTCAATCTCATCTATAGATGGCACAGCGCCCTGTCGGCGCGTGACGAGAAATGGGTAACTGATGACTTCCGTAAAATACTCGACGGCGCGGATCCTGCTAAAGCGACCGTTGACGAGGTGCTGCAAGCCTTAGCAAGATCCCGGCGCAGCATCCCTAACAACCCGGATGAGCGAGACTTCGCCGGTCTAAGCCGGGGTGAAGACGGGACTTACTCTGACGACGACCTCGTCGATATCCTAACTGCTTCTATCGAAGATGTCGCAGGCGCGTTTGGAGCGAACCAAGTACCGAGCGCATTGCGAGTTATCGAAATCCTCGGAATCACGCAAGCGCGAGAATGGCATGTAGCCACGCTGAATGAATTCCGGCAGCATTTTGGCCTGAAGAAGCACGACACGTTCGAAGACATCAACCCAGACCCTGCGGTCGCGGGGAAGTTAATATCGCTTTATGATTCGCCTGATTCGGTTGAATTATATCCAGGGCGTACGTGCATTGCGAAATCCCTTTCCCCTGTTCTAGGATATTCCTAGACCCTTAACCCCTTTATTTGAACGAATAAGCACTTACTGGTCGTAGTTGTAGCCGAGAAGCCCAAACCACCTATGTCCGGCAGCGGACTCTGCGTAAACGTCACCACGAGCCGTGCCATCCTTTCCGATGCCGTGGCGCTCGTTCGCGGAGATCGCTTCTATACTACTGACTACACTCCTGCGAACTTGACGAACTGGGGGTATGTATGATACCATCTCATAACATCTCGCTTTATTCCCCTTGGTTAAATGTGAAGCTGAGCGCCTTTAAGTTCCAATGAGGCCAATTTCGACCTGAAGGTGGACCAGGGACAAGTGATGCACAAGTTGATATTCCGCGCGTTCCCGTTTCACTTCGCGCGCAACAGCATCCATGCGCATTTCCCTTTCGTTGTGCCGCAGGAGAATAAGGTCATACATGAGGCTCTCGGCACATCTGAGTTATATTCGGTAAGATAATTTCCCACTTCGACAGACCCCTTTCCCATCCCTCGAGAATAGGGGTTCTGTGGTCATACCCCATTTTAATGTAACTAATATCAACTCTTCTTACTACAGTGGGAGAAACCCGCGAGACAGCTAGATCCGGTGGTCATCAAATCCCACAAAGCCGTTAGCCAAGTGCTTAGCAACAACAAGGACTTCTACGTTCCCTGGGGCGACGGTATATCCTATCTTGTCAGCCCACCAGGGAAGACCTTCGCGAAAGACTTTTGTCTAGCTGGTGACGGCACCGCCAACCAGCATAGTCGGGACCATGTCGCTAAATGTCTCTACCAACCCAAGGAGTGGGAAGCCGAGATCAAGCATTTCTTCGACCAGACTACGAAGAATCTGCTTAAGAAGGCTGGCCGGATGTTACCACGCAGTCCCACCACACCGGCATCAGCCAAACAATTCGAAGTCGACATTGTCCGAGATGTTATTATCCCGCTTAACACGCGCTTCGTCGCGGAGTTCTTCGGACTGCCGATTAAAACAGCCGAGACCTCGCCCCACGGCGTCTACACAGAGCACGAGCTATACGGGCTACTGTCAGCCATGTTCTCCGCCGTATTCTTCGACGGCGATCCAGCCAATTCCTTCAAACTGCGGACTCTGTCACGCGAGCTTGCTCTGGGGCTAGAACAACTTGTACGGCTGGAGGCCGAAGCCGATGCGAAGACTGGTTGGGTCGCCGGAATGGCGGCACGGCTGGGCTTTCTATCTGCCGGGAAGGACAAGTCGAATGCCGGGGGTAAGGATGGCTGGCCTGGGCTGCCGCATTATGGGCGACAGCTGCTTTCCCGTATGATGGAGAAGGGGAAGACGGTTGAGGAGTGTGTTGCGGGGACTGTTATG